GTTAACGAAGTGTGGCGAAATTACAAATTACAAGCAAAATCCGACAAGGAACTAGATATTATTGTATCTAAGAGAATCGAAGAAGAATTGCAAGCGGCGACTAAGAATAAATCCAATCTACTAAATTTTTTTTCTAAGGTGAGTGACGAAATGATTTTAGGTACCTATGAGTACTACAAATATTAGAAATCGCCAAAAAGTTTCGCTTTATTGATTAGAAAATATTATGGCCTATCTCAAAGTATAGAGGTAATATTCATTATATTATAGATTTATTTCTTATGATGGATTCCGTCAATTGGTCACAAAGTACAGGATGTTAGTTTTATACATATATACAGAAAACTAACACCCTGTATTCTGTGACCGGAACGAATTGCTCGTTTAAACCTACTAGATTTAAAGCCATAGGGTTTTGTATTTACCGTATATATTAAGAGAAGCTTTAGCAGAAGCCATAGAAAGTTTTTATTTTTAGGCAACCTGTAAACCTGGAGAAAAAACACAAATTATACAGTCAGCTTAAAATTTTGAAAAAGAGGAAGAAGATAAAATAAAACCCGGTAATAAATCACAACAGCAATGCGAAATTAATGAAACTACAGATAAACAGAGAGCAAAACCTTCTCAGGAAGCTATGAAAATAAGATTGCTCTACTCGAAAAAAATCTGAATGCTTTGTATTCTGCCAGAGATACTATGCCAAGCCGTGCTGAAGTTGATAAACAGATCATTAAGTTGCGCGAGGAAATAAAAACAGCAAAACAGTCTTTAAACAGGAAGGTTCAAAACGCAGTTGCCCAGAAGAAACAAAGGGATGGTATGAAAAGAAAGTTACAAGATATTTGTCATGAAAATCCAGAAATAAAAAAAGACTACCTCTGAGGGATTCAGTGGGACGTCCTAATCTTGAAAGCAATCAACATTCACTATTGAAAACAATCGCGGATATAGCTTTATTTGGGAGTGCAGCAGATGATTGAAGACGAACGGAATCAATTCGCAGCGTAAAAACTCTTGATGAACTCACACAAGAATTACGTAAAATAGGATTTGCAATTAGTCGCAGTGGGACATATCTTTGTTTGATTCCCAGAAAATCTAATTCTGCAGAGGGACGAAGACATGTATCGACAGTCCCTGTTAAGCTCATTCGGACTCAAACTGATCACCACAAGAGCCACTTAGATAGCAAGTTCGCTGAAACATGAATCCATACTTGGACCAGATCAAGTTTTTTTTCATATCTCAAGATGATAAAGCTCGAGTCCCTATTAGCGTAACTGCGGCAAATAAGCAAGCACCTCTTCTAATGCACATGGAATATAGAATCAAATTGCCTGATCACGAGTGGGTAATCGCTGAGCGTCACAAATTAATACCAACTGTTTATGCTGGTATCAAAATCACTTCCAATATGCTAGGACAACCGCAAGCCGTTGGATATTCTGGACCAACATACATCGCTATTCGAAGTGGAAAGCATAGTTCATCTACTGCTAATACTCATACTCAGGATTTCGAGACGCTTCTCGAACTTGAAGAGTTTTGACCATTAGCTAAAACTGACCATGGACCAGTAAAACCAGTGGTAATCATGACGGTTGATGGAGGGCCAGATGAAAATCCACGTTATCAAAATGTCATAGGGTTTGCTATTTAACACTTTAAGCGACATGATCTCGATGCATTGTTTTTAGCTACCAATCCTCCTGGAAGAAGTGCGTATTACAGAGTAGAGCGCAGAATGGCTCCTCTTAGTCGGGAACTGGCTGGTTTAATACTGCCTCATGACCATTTTGGGTCTCATTTGGATGAACGTGGCGTTACAATTGATGAACATTTAGAAAGATCTAATTTCGAATTTGCAGGAAGTGTATTAGCTGAAGTATGGAGTTCAATGGAAATTGGTGGCTATAATGTTAATGCAAAATATGTTGGGGCAGGTGAACAAGATCTTCCTGATTTTCCAGACATTAAATGGTATTCAGAACATGTGCGTGAGAGCCAATACTTGCTTCAAATTGTAAAATGTCGAAATACAGAATGCTGTCGTCCAAGAAGTGGCCTATTTAGATAACTAGACAATAGGTTTCTGTAAAAGTAAAACAAACAGTTGATGACTTGGTTTTGGATGAAGTAGGGCAATTTCTTAATCTTCCAGTCAATTTAGCTCTACACTTAAGTGCTTCACTCAAAGATTTCCTGCAAATGCCCTACGATTTTTTTTGTCCGTCGGTAAAATTGAGGCTATCAAGTCGAACATGCAAAACGTGTGGTCTTTATCATGCTTCCGTCAAGTCACTAAATCGTCACGTCGAAAATATCCATAAAAAAGTAAACACTCACACTGATAGGAACGTTAGACCTGTAAGAGTCGCTGCTCGTCGTGCTAATGAATTGATGTGCATTATTAAAAATTTAGAGCACCATGATGTTGAATGGCTCGATGAGAACGACGTAGACATTCGAAAATCCGATGAAAGCGAGCAAACTCACAACACTGAGCAGCAATCGAAGCAATCCAATGTCATCGAAAACTTAGAATCATCGATTCGGGTTTCATGGAGTGAAGACTTAATTTGAATTTAACGTATGTACCAGTCTATAATTTGAAAAGTATACGACGATTGTTTTAAATTTACCTGATAACTATTATGACTTGGCCTATCCCCCGTCTCCGAGCTTTGAGCAGAACCTAACAACCCTCCCCCGTATTTCAGCCCCTATCAGAACAGTCACCCCGTCGCCGTCGCTGTGATCATCCAGGCCCTCCTCGTTCGTTTCCGCCACCCTTCGTGTAGGGAGGGGGCCGACCCGAATCCACCAGCTCGCCGCGGGCTCCTGTCAGCCATTTGGACCTCGTCTCTAAATTTTAAAATCCGGCTCTATCTGGACGCCTCACCCATACACCCGGACTCTAGATGTCCTAATCTCCGGGCCAAACGCACCCGCCTTTTTTCCTCCGGGTCGCCGAATCTAGGCGGCCAGGAATGTGACAGCCGAGATATCGATTCCGGCCTACTACGATACTATACTACATAGCGTGTTGTGTTCGGGCACAGCTTGATTTCGGTCGGTCGGTGGGAAATTGTTGAATTATCCGGGAAATAATCCGGGAATATGATGGACGATATCCGGGCGATGGTTCGTCTCAGACGGTTTTGCGGCTGGGTGTTCAAGAATAGGTGATCATGAATGTATTCGGGTGAGTAGAGCGCTCAGGGTATTGATATCGCTAGCTAAGAGGTTTGGGGAATTTTCCTATGGAGCCTTGTTTATTGCCAACGTTCAGATGGTACCTAATTTTCATTTTTGTCCAATTTTTGTCCCGTTGAGGATTGTGTAAAATATGGAATACTTCCTTAAAAACGCTCATAGGTATCGATATACGTAATCGAGACTTAGAACAACTTTCTGTCTCTCCTTATTCATAACCAAGGAGGCTTTCAACATTTAGATGATATCTTACATATTCGCATACACGTTTAGTTAAGTACATAATACAGAATATTTTCTTAAAACGCTCGGGGTATTGACATCGCTAGCTAAGAGGTTTGGGAATTTTTTATGGAGCCCTGTTTATAGCTAAGGCCATCATTCAACGTTTAGATTATTCCTAATTTTTATTTTCATGCAGTACTGCGGTTAAAGACTCTACAAAGTACAGAATGCTCCCATAAAAACGCGCAAGTATATTGATATGAGTACCTAAGACCTTTGAACAGGTTTCTGTAGAGCACTATTTATAACCAAGGTCATTTTCAGCATTTAGATGATATCTAATTTTCATTTTCACGCATCCTTTAAGTCGAGTGGTGTAGATAATACAGAATGTATCCTTAAAAACGTACAGCATACTGATATGACTAGCTAAGAGGTTTGGGGAATTTTCTATGGAGACTGGATGGTTCCTAATTTTTATCCTATACTATGGTTAAAGATTGTACAAAGTAGATAAAGTTGCCTTGAAAACGCTCAGGGATATTGACATGAGAGCTTCAAACAGCTTCCTGTAGAGCCTGATTTATAACTAAGGAGGCTTTTAACGTTTAGATCATTGATTCCCATAGTGGTCTATATCGACCCCTAGGGGTCTATGACAACCTGCAAGGGGTCTGCGTCAGCGAAAAAAAATTTGGGGGTCCACGATAGTGGATCTCAACACATACACTGATAGTACCTATTTACTTACATCATACTATCTTATAATATCAAAACATATACATTATTTATAAAAGTACCTATGAAGTAAAAAATTTATTATATATGTTTATAAAATTGTGTAAGTTGTAGGATGCTGGTATTCGCTTTGTGGTCGCAATACATTTTGAACTTGTAAAAACCTGAGAGTCGCAGTCTCAGAGCTTCGCTACCTTGCACTGACTTGTTCAATTCGTCACTCTATAAATACGAATGTGGGACAAATACGTTTATTCGTTTCCTGAATCTTGAAAAGGAAAGTGCTAAGAAAATATTTTAAAAAATATAAACAGATAGTATATCACACAAATTATAGTGAGTCAGTGTTATTTTGTTTGAGAGTGCTGGAGAAAAGTAAGTACATTATTTTTTAATAAATTATAGTTTTTTACTCGTAGTTAGCAAAGATAGATAAATTACGCCAATCACGACTTTAGTTATTAGTAGTTAAATATTCAATCATGCAAAATTACACGAGTACTCCTCAATAGTTTCTTTTTGAAAGTTTTAGCAATCGGTAATATAATTACAGCGCAATCTCTGTAATTCGAGGAAGATGTTCGAATTATGGAATATTTTCGGAAAAATCAAAAAATATTTTTGATATACAGCTGCTGGATTTTCTGTCTTATTAAATAATTTAATTTTGCCCACAGATGACTGATGCCATGACCGAATCTAAAAAGAAATGTAGACAGTACAATGTTGATTATTTGAAATTTGGCTTCATTCCATCATTGCCGGACAAACAATCGCCTATGTGCCTTTTATGCAACAAAGTTTTGGGCAATGACGCTATGAAACCATCTAAACTGCAAGATCATCTGAGAAGATGCCACCCTGATAAAACAGAGAAAGATCTGAAATACTTTCAAACACTCAAAGATAAATTTCAGAAGAGACCTACACTGGACAGAATGTTCGCTTCGACGTCACAAAGAAATGATGATGGTTTGCGGGCGTCTTACAATATCTCGTTACTTATAGCAAAATCCGAAAAACCGCATACTATCGGAGATAAGTTAATTTTGCCAGCCGTTGAAGAGGTTTTAAAACTGTTTTACAAAAACCTACATCTGATATCATTAAAAGAATTCCCTTAAGCAACAATACTGTTGAAAGACGTATTGATGAAATGAGTTCTGATATTGAAAGCTTCTTATGTAATTATTTGCAAACGACCCATTTCTCTATACCACTGGACGAGTCAACTTTACCTGATAATGCAGCATTATTATTGGCATATATGTTCGTTTTATTATGAATCAAGAAATTTACGAAGAACTGCTCTTCGCAAGAGCTTTGATAACCGACACTACAGGTGAATCAATATTTCATGTTTTGAAGGATTACTTCATTGAAAAAGCAATTCCTATATCAAATATAATATCAGTAGCTACAGATGGAGCACCTGCCATGGTTGGACGTTATCGTGGATTTATAAGCTATTTAAAACAAAATGTGTCAGGGGTGTTAGCAATACATTTAGTTGCTAAAAATTTGAGTGTTAGATTGCATGATTCACTTCATTTAGTCATTGATGCTGTAAACCGAATCCGAAGCAACGCGTTGAATACGCGGTTATTTGCGCAGTTGTGTGAAGAAAATGACGAACACTTTCATTAATTACTCCTTCACACTGAAGTACGCTGGCTGTCGAAAGGCTTATGTTTGACAAGATTTTTTGCACTTCTTGAGACTATTTTAATATTTCTGGATACTAAAGATAAAATTTTAAAAGAAAATTTAATGAAGAGGAAAACAGACATCGCCTATTTAACAGTTTTGTTTACAAAATTTAATATGGTTAATTTGCAATTACAAGGCGACAGTTTAAATTTGATTAAAACAAAGTCCATCTTATCAGCGTTTCTTGCCAGAGTTAAACTAATGAAGCAAAATATTGGACGGGGCGAATTTTCTCAGTTCCCCAATTTGTCACAGACAAGCTGCCAGGAAGACGACGTTTCAACTTACGTTCAACATTTAAATGCCCTCTATTCAGATTTTGAATCTAGATTTGAGGATATTTTGACTATGGTAATACCACCGTGGATAATTAATCCATATGGTGACATAGAAGAAACGAATGTCATAATACAAGAGGAACTGACTGAACTAAGTACAAACGAAGAATTTAAGGTTCAGTTTAAAAACGGATATCAGCAATTCTGGCTGCAAAACAACATACCCGCTACATATCCCGTATTATGGAATATAAAGAGGAAATTTTCAATTTCCTTTCCATCGTCATACCTAGTAGAAAGGGGGTTCAGCGCTGTTACCAATCTCCTAATAAAAAAAAGAAACAGACTGGACATCATTAGCCGAGGAGATTTAAGATTAACCCTTACAAAATTGACGCCAAATGTTGATAATTTATTATTAAAGCATCAGGTTTATCCTTCTCACTAAAAACATTGACTTATAGCTTATGTTATTTTATTTATAGTTTATTTTATGTTTATTGGTGTCTGACCAATAAATGCCCGCATTGATTTTTTTAAAGAACCCCCCTTTTTGGAAAATATTTTTTTTTAAATTATTCTGCAAATTCAAGGATAGGGACAGACTAAAATTCGTTAATTTTTTGCCTATTTTTAGATAACTTAAACGTATAAGAAGCGGAATTTAATCAAACTAACAGTGAAATTATTGTAGAACATACGTTTATGTTATAATTAATAAACGAACTCGCTTATTGTACTATTTTAAGTAAAAAACTTTTTTTTTATTATTTTTCACTATTTTTTTATTTTATCCCTCTTATTTTTTTTTTCAATGCGGGCACTTATTCCCAATGCGGGCACTTATTGATCAGACACCTGTTTATTTAATGTTACGTATATTTTACATAACAGATACAAAATTTTATTTTGAGTAGTTTTAATTTAAATTCAATTAATAAATGTATGAATTAACATGTGTTTTTACTTTAAGTTTTTAACACTAAACTTCACTACAGTTAGAAATTTACAGGAAATCAATATCAGGTAAGAAGGGGGTCTGCCCAACACGGAAAAGCATGGTTTAGATGATATCTGACTTTCATTTTCGCATAGATACGAGTGCTCATAATACAGTTTCCCTAAAACACTCAGGGTATTGATATGACTACAGTTAAAGATTGTGCAAAGTACAGAATGCTTCCACAAAACGCTAAAGGGTATTGATATTAGTAGCTAAGAGCTACGAACAACTTTTTGTAGAGCTATATTTATAACCAAGGAGGTTTTCAGCGTTTTGATTTGAGAACGATGTCTGGTAGACGTCTCAGGGCGCTCCACTACACTTTCACGAACTCTCCCGATATTTTCCGGAGTACGAACAGGTCGAACACGGTCCGACCTTGGTAAATCCTTAACTTCACCTGTTTGTTAAAATTTCTGCACCAACTGATGAATGGTTTTGACAGTGGGTACATCATTTCGACCGAAATCTTGTCGTAGCTTCAGAATCGTTGCAACAATAGACTCATTATTTACGTAAAACGTTTTAACAATGCGGACGCGTTTAAAGAACTTCTACGGTGCCTCCTACTGAAATGCGTGTATTAAAAATGGCCCGCGATTATATTTTGATCATTTTTCCCATATTAACTAAATATCTCCTATCATCATAATATTTATAGCAGTACGTGTTCCCTGCACCACTCCCTTCTAATTCTTCTATATTTTGGCAAAGCTAAACATGTTTTTCTGAAGCTGATGTGTCTATATTTGTAAATCTAGGTGAGGTACAGCATTTGAAAGTCGATAGTCTGACCCATTTTTTCCAGTTTTTACCGTAAATCGTAAATACGGAGCAGAGAACCGTGTGAATGGTGCAAAGCGTGAATGGCAGCGATGGCAGATAGTGTCGTGTGACGTCATCACTCAGTTTCGCACTCCAACAGGAAACTTCTGGATAGCGTAACTTTTTCATTTTTTAATACATCAAGAAACATTATTCAGTGCTGTACTTCACTCTTTATAGATTATAATTTCAAGTGTGTTCTAAAAACTAGGAAGTCTCATTGAAAAACTGGGCTTCAGATTACGAGTTTCTTCCCACTTCAGTTGGCCCACTTCAAGATTAGTACCAAAATATGCCTTTATAAACTAAACATGACGAAACTATTTACTTCTAAAACAATTTATTTTCTCAAAAACATTTTAGATACACTCTAGTCGTAAAAAATACATATTTGAAATCACTTAGACCTATAACTAATAGAACATCTGAACAAATAAACAATGTGCGAATAAATGCGCGAAGTTAACAAAGCAACAATTGAAAGATTGCCATTGAGTAACATCACCTTTATTTTTTATTACGGCTGAAATTCTTTGGGGCATAGTGTTAACCAAGTTTTGGCAAAAATTTGGTGTAAAACAATCCTATATTTCTTGAGGATTTTGTCTCAGTTCGATGATTGTACGAACAGGATCTTGTCGTAGCCACAAAGTTTCAATAGGTGACAGATCTGGACTGCTAGAAACCCATTTCAAAAGTGGTACATTATTTTCTTCCATCCATTTTATAGTCTTTTTTGAGGTATGGCACGCTGCACCATCTTGCTGAAACACAAAATCTTGGCCGGATGTCAAACATTCTTCCATCAGTGGTAAAAGCGATTCTTCTAAAATTGCCAAATATTTGTTTGCATCCACATTTCCATCAATAAAATGAAGTTTAACTACTCCTTTTGATGACTACTTTTCTCTTCAGACAGTCAACATGAAATGCTTCACTTTTTTGCGAATAACTCTACTGCGACTGTCACCAACACAAACTTCGAATCGGGCCTCACCACTCCATTGTTGAGGTGTCCATTGCCTATGTTCTTTAGCCCATCTAAGCCCATTCACGTTATATCTTCTAATAATATTTCTCACACTGTACCGCGTTAAGTCTAACAAAGTTGCAAATTCAGAGTTTGATTTCCCAGAATTAAAAAGTATAATTATCAGTAACCGAATTTTCTCACTATAACCTTTCCTCTACCCATTTTGAAAACCTCTAACTACCCAAAACTATTTTAAACGTATTCTGACAGCTGTGATTAATAAAAACAATTGTCATGGCTTTTATTTTTCACAGCCACCTATGCGTTATAGACTTATTTTGCATTGAAATGAAAATAGGTTGGTATGCTGTAATTGCAACATGTGTTATTTTTATGCTGCAAATTTTATTAGGGAGTGATAAGGTTAGTATTTTCTGCTATATACTATCAAAATATTCATTGCTAATATTTTAAACCTATAACACCCTACTACATTTTTATTATTTGTGGTTGATAAGAAAAAAACTAAGATTTCAATAGTTGGGCCAACTGAAGTGGGAAGGGGCTCGTACTCCACTAAAAATGTGAGTTAATTGGCAATCTAAGAGCGTAATATGTTTGAGGAGTGATATTTTTCAAGACCTCAATTAGACGATTATTGTGTCTACTCGTATATAAATCATTGGCCCAATGCTGTTTTTAATTAAAAATGCCTGAAGTTACCCATGGTTAACCTATAAGGTAGGTGTAATAATGAATAGTTATCAGGACTATTTTATCGATTTGTATTTATCAACGTCCCATATACCGGCGGACTAGAGAAATTACATGGTATCGAATATTTATTAGTATCAGATTATGTCCGTGTGTTTACAATATTGTATTATCTACTTTTCAGATTTATGCTGCAATAATTATGAGCCTTATGTCAGTTTACCAGGATAGTTGTGGAAAACTGTTGGTGGTAATCTATTAAAACATTCATCTGTTTCAAGACACACGTAATAGCAGTCCTTTTTCATAACAAGTTGTTTGTCATCATGTTGGGTTAAAATCCTCTAGTTCTCTTTTCGAACGGATCAATCATACAATACGTTATCTTGAAGCGCAAAAAAAGCACTTTATAACAATGAAATAAATTAATACATGTTTGTCTCCGTTCTGTAGCTGTTTGAATTGTTTGTAAAACACCTGGCTCCAAATTAGCGACTTCTTCTTCCATACTGGCTTTGAAGACGTGCAAGTCTTGTGGTGCGGTGTGTGGTGGATCTGAAACGTTAGGAAACTTACAAAAAATCAGACGCTGTAAGGTGTTCTGAAGCAAAGTTCAAAATACGGTAAGATGTGATATCTCAGGAGGTGGATATTTGATTGCCATCTTGTCGTTATCTCCTAATACTAGCGGTGTACCATTTGTTTGTTGCAGAAAACATTACAAGACATGTTTGCAGGGACGCGACGGGCGGCGGAATGGGGTCACTTTTTGTATTAAAATATGTCATTCTACAGCGTCTTATAAAACAAAAAATCACACATTTCCACAAAACAAAATAGTGGTGCTTACTAGGAGTTCCACTACAGGGCGTCCCGAAAAAAGTGTGCAATATTCTACCAGCGGTATCTAGAGCTTAAAATAGGAAGAAAAGTTTATATAAAGATAGGTCGACAAACGTCCCCTAAGGGCGCTACGGTCTTTTAAAGGGGCTCCCTGAAGATGGTTTTTCCTTAATATTTCCGAAACGTGTTGAGATAAAGACATAAAATTTGGTATTCTAGCCTAGTTTTTTATGCTGGATTGGCAGCCGTAGGAGAATATCAAAGAAGATCTCCCAATCGCATAGTACCTGGACGTCGAAGCTTTCGGCGCATGCAGGGCTCAGGAAGGCCACTGGGAAATCATTGTATGGATATTGCTTTAAATATGTTTGAAAATAATCCGCAAATAAGCATACGAAATGTTTCAGAAATTATGGATATACCTCGATCAATAGTAAGAAAAAATTATGAATACCTATTTGATAGTTGTCCTAAAAATAATAATTTTAGATAGGAAGAATGACAAGAATGCAAGGATTACATCCTTATCATTTTAAACGGGAGGCAGATTTTTTACCACGAATCGAGTTTTGCCAGTGGATATTAGCAAATGAAAACACTATTCCTAGAATGTTATGGTCTGATGAGTCAATATTTACAAGGAATGGTGCTTTTAATTTCCATAACATGCATCACTGGTCAGATGAAAATCCAAAACTTGTTCGCCGTACAAATTTCCAACATAGATTTTGATTGAACTTATGGGCAGGAGTAACTGGGGATCAAGTAATTGGGCCTATTGTACTTCCCAATCGTCTTAATTCAGAGGTGTATCTGAACTTTCTTCAGAATGAGCTCATGGATATAATACTATTAATACAATTTCAAGAAAATATGTTTTTTCAACATGATGGCGCCCCTGCACATTTTGGACGCAATGTTCGAAATTGTATGTCAATTTTCCAGACATGTGGTTAGGCCGAGGAGGTCCTATAGCGTGGCCGCCACGTTCACCTGACCTAAATCCATTGGATTTCTATTTTTGTGGGTCATTAAAAGACCTAGTTTACTATACTGGAGTAAATACTCAAGAAGATTTATTTCAAAGAATCCATCAGGCTGCAAATGAAATAAGAAGAAAAAGGTTTTCCACTTTTCGGGCTACGCAATCGTTAGTTCGTCGAGCGAGACTCTGTATCCAACAGAATGGGAATTTATTTGAACACTTATTGTAAAGCTAGTTTTAAGTATATCCAACTGTATGTCTTCTTTTTTAAGCAAATTTCAATTTCGTACGTAGAAAAAATTTATTTCTTTTGTTTTTGCCTAAATGTTAGCTATGTTGCAATAGAAATATGTATTTATGTAATATTTACCAATTATTAAATTAGGTTTTTCGTTGCCATGGATAATTATTCAACAATTCATTTAAATTCCTAGTACAATTCCTATCATGTGACAAATTCTTTATTTTGATTTAATTCAAAAATGGCAAAATTTATCGATATTCAATAAGAGTACCTTTTTCATGTAGAAAACCCAAAATTTTCAAATTATAAAATTGAATTCCAAAAATAGGATCACACAAAAATTTTGGGGCTAAAATAACCTGAGTCCGTCCCTGTTACATGCGCTTCCAAACAAAACTGTCTAAAATTGTTAATACCTTTAAATCCAGCATAAAAAACTAGGCTAGAATACCAAATTTTATGTCTTTATCTCAACACGTTTCGGAAATATTAAGGAAAAACCATCTTCAGGGGAGCCCCTTTAAAAGACCGTAGCGCCCTTAGGGGACGTTTGTCGTCCTATGTTTATATAAACTTTTCTTCCTATTTTAAGCTCTAGAAATCGCTGGTAGAATATCGCACACTTTTTTCGGGACCCCCTGTATATGTTTTCCATCTATTTTTTCCGTCAGAAATCAGAATTGAGGGATGCACATCCACCAAAAATGCCAAAATTTGTGGTCTTAAGTCCTAAATTATTTTCATACTTGTCCAGCGACCCCAAATTCTGACTCCAGATCCGTGCTCCAGGCAAAAAATGAATGGAAAAATATAATCGGATCCCAGCACACATTTTTTTGATTTTGTCGCTCCGTGTAATACTTGAAGTACATTCGGTTGAAAATCAAGTAATTTCGGACATTATCTTATACAAACCATTGTACATAAAATAAAGTAAATCTAAGGAATCATAATGCTGGAATATTAGCACATTATTCTTACATAGCCTGTTCGACCTCTGCACTTAGGTCTCATAGGTTATTACCTACAGAGACATTTACCGTTATCGGGTTGCAAAACAAATGAATTCTTCAATGCAGTCAACTTGTTTATGGTAAAAGGAGTACGAGAAGTTAATTGGACTGACAGAAAAAGTTTGTGATTAATGGGACATGCCCGATTTAAAATTATAGTGGATGAGTAGCACACGATCTATAAGAGGCTATGATTCACAATTTTGGTGAGCGTGCAGACACGCATCGTGACTAACATGGAAATGTTATACACTGCCACCCAAAATTAACCGGACAAACAAAATTTTGTTCAAATTAAATTTGAAATAACTTTTTAACCTTTGCATCAATCTCGTTAATTTTAACGTCAAGTTGTAGGTAATTTCATTGTCGATCTTGCAAATTGAAAATGTTTGTTGTTATACAGAGTGTAACTAAAATGTGCATTTTGTCCTAAATATCTGAACACCCTGTGGTAACATTGGATTACTCAATAATGTGTCTTCGTACGTGAATTTTAAGCCTCAACTTTTCTCAACAGATCTTTTTTGATTCATGTCAATATCTCATATATATACTAAGTGACATATAAATCCGAACACCCAGTTTAAATGGTTTTATTTTAATAAAAGTTGGACATTCCGGTTTTTATACTGCTTTTTTTTAATTCACTAACGCTCTAAAAATGAATACTTCAGCCGCAGTAAAGAATCAACGTTGGCGGATTTTGGTTCTTGACATCCTTTACGATCGGTTACGATGCCTAGAGTACGGAGACCTGTACGATTTCATCAACTTAGTGAGTTTGATAGGGGCCGTATAGTGAGACTTCGGGAAGCTGGACTTTCTTTTCGGGAAATTGCAGTTAGAGTGCAAAGAAGTGTAGACACTGTGGTTAGGTGTTGTCAGGCATGGATTCGAGAAGGCCGTACGCAAAGAGCAAGGGGCACTGGATGCCGCCGTAGAACAACAGACCGTGAAGATCGCCGCCTAAGATTATTGGCCTTAAGGGACCGTTTCTCCACTACCAGGTCCATTGCAAGTGAATGGTTTGCAGAACACGGAAGACCTATTGGCCAAAGGGCTTTAAAGCAGTGCTATCATTTTGAAATTTTTATCATTTACTTATTATGCTTCATTAAGTACAAAATTTTATTAGAATAAAACCATTTAAACAGGGTGTTCCGATTTATATGTCACTTAGTATATATCTGAACGCGCTTACGGGATAGCATTGTCCATCATCATAATTAAAGCTTAGTAATGGGGCGTTTTAAAATCTTACCTCTGGCTAAAATAAGGGTATTATCTAATTTATGCGATGTAAGCAATTTTATGTATTTCGAGGCATAACTTCCAGGTCATCGATGATTCGGTCCAATTCCCATAACATGTAGTTGACAAAACGACTAAAACAGTTCCACGAAAGTGTCACATCTCCCCAGTATCATCCAGATTTCTGGAGCGAGAGATACATCGTTGGCAGGAAATTTATAGATCCATGCCAGGTTCAACGCTCTCAACTCGCGTCTTTATGGTGATATTAATCTTCAAGTTTATCGTGCTATTATTTTTATCAGCAATTTGATATCATAGTACCAAGCTGGAGCGATGTGTGTAGTAACAAGGCTCGTAACGGAAGCAGACATATCTTTATTTTATTGGAGTCTCCAAGGCTAGGTAAATAGCGGTAGATTACATGAGGTTATAACAAAATCTTTTTAAGAATTGGGGAATGTAATATACACGCTAAATTTGGGACCGTTTTCAGGAACAATAATGTTTGAAATAGTAGAGCGAATGTCATGTGAAGCAGCAACGGACACGTCAAAAAATGGTACCCACTATTAATTTGGAAGAGATCTCAGTTTGTTATACCGCGTAAATGCAGTTATAACGGGTGATTCTTTAAGAGGTATAGGATCTGATTTAAAAAAAACACAAAAAATTTGGAAAAACGATTAAATCTTCATTTGAGTCGATAGAACGGTCGATATAATTTAATGTTTAAATATTATTTCATGTGAATGTTGGCCGCGGCTCCGCTTTAGATGGCCCATGCGCAAGGTCCAATTTTGGCACACTCTCTCCAACATATCGGCCGGTATCTCACGAATAAATGCTTCAATATTGGCCTCCAGTGCGTCAATCGTTGCTGGTTCATCCCTGTAGACATTAGCCTTAACATGGCCCCACAAGAAATAGTCCAACGGCGTTAAATCATACGATCTAGGCGGCCAATTGACGGGCCCAAAACGTGAGATAAAGTGTTCACCGAACTCGCCTCTCAATAGGGCCATTGTTTCGTGCGCGGTGTGGCATGTGGCACCGTCTTGTTGAAACCACATGTCAGCCAAGTCCAGCTCTTCCATTTTGGGCAAAAAAAGTTTGTTATCATCGCACGGTAGCGCTCGCCATTCACAGTTACGTTCCGGCCATTGTCGTCTTTGAAGAAGTACGGCCCGATGATGCCACCGGCCCATAATCCACACCAAACAGTGATTTTTTTCGGGATGTATTGGTAGCTGTTGCAATGCTTCTGGCTGGTCTTCACTCCAGATGCGGCAATTTTGCTTGTTAACGTACCCATTCAACCAGAAATGAGCTTCGTCACTGAACACAATTTATCGATAAAAATGTGGATCTTCCTCAAACTTTGCCAGCGCCCATTCACCAGATTGGAAACGTTGTGGGAGGTAGTGTGGCTTCAATTCTTGCACCAGCTGTATCTTATAAGGTTTTACACCCAAATCCTGTCGCAAAATTTTCCACGTAGTGGAGTAACAGAGGCCCAATTGCTGCGAACGGCGGCGAATCGACATTTCACGGTCATCACTAACACTGGCGGATACAGCCGCAATATTTTCTTCAGTCCTCACTCTACGTCTGCGTGTTGGTGGTTCAATGTCCAATAATGTAAACTTGGTTCGAAATTTAGTCACAAGCTTCCGAATAGCTCCCTCAGTAGGCCGACCAAATTGCTCATAAATTGGAAGCAGTGCTCGATGCACTCTCTTAACCGAGCATGAACTTTGATAGTAAAATTCAATAATTTGCAATCGTTGTTCGTTCGTAAGTCGATTCATGGTTAAATTATAGACCAAACTGAACAAGTTTGACAATGACACAAGACACGATTCACGCGTCATCTGTCAAAAATAGTGTTGCCAAAAAGATACTAGCAAAAAAATCACCCATTAATTTGTTACAAGAATGTGACTGTGCTCAGTCGGTAGTTAATGTACGCTCACACGGTGGTTCTTTGTACTTTTAATTTTAGATGCAAATGGTTGTTGTTGTTTGGGCGCCATCTAGTTCAAAGCACTAGGAAAAGAAATATCAAGTAACCAAAGTTGGGTCTCTGGCGGTGATATAAACTCACAAGGTACACAAACATTCATTGAACAAGAGAAATAAAAAAATTTGAAAGAAGTCCTGGAGGACAAGCAAAAGAAAGTTATTTTGCACTACCCCTCAGCTAAATGGTTTCCAGTAAAAACTAAAATAAAAAACAACACCTAGGCAGGTGCTTGGTTATCACAGGTAGGAAACGGAGGTTAGGAAGTCCCAGATGAAACTCAATACCCGAAGAAATGGGGACCGTCGTGAGTGCTACTTATAGATCTTCTCGGAATATCGACTCAGTTCCCCGCAGCTTGATGGTTAAGTGTAGCTGTGACAACGGCTAAATCCCCAAGAGGATGAAAAAAGGGCTCCGACAACAAAATTCACTAATGGAGGCCGATTTCTATCAAAATCTCCACAACCCGATAAACCCAGCACTGGGTGTGAAATTGTTTCACTACTGCGGGTTGCGGCGCTGTACTGTTTCACGAGAGCACCGAAAATTGCACCAAGTCACCTTTTTTTATATCGAAGTAGCCGCGCAGGCAGAAGCCTAAATGCCGGAACACCGCGACTGCTATGATGATCCCAAAGAAATTTTGTTAATACGATTTTTGAACTGCCTAAGGTTAGTGGAACTGGGAAGCTTCCTCTTGTAGATTGTTCCACAATCCACAATCTCGAGGAAGTCGTCGCTAGTCTTCTTTTTTCCAGCTCAGCGGCAGAGATTGGCTTGTCACTCTGAATGTAGAGTGCTGACATCAGCGAAGCTGTGGATAGGGTTGTCGGAGCCAAGACCGATCCCTGGGGAACACCCGCGTTGACGTTGTGGAGTAAAGAGGAGAACCCGTCAATTACGACTGATATCTTGCTGACAGAGGTAAAGTCAGCCGCCCATCTGCAAAGCTTTTTTGGGAGGCCATAGGATGGAAGTTTGCTTAAGAAGGCAGCATACCACAGCTGACCGAACTCTTTCGTGATGTCAAGAGCAACGACGTGAGCCTCACCATAAGACTGGATGAGTTTACTCCACAGTTGCGTGACGTAAGCTAGGAGGCCCCTGTGGATCGTTGGTGCCGGAAACCTTACTGCCTGTCGCTAATCAAGCTGTGACGTTCGAGGTAGTCGAGAAGCTCGCGATTTATGCAACTCTCCATCACCTTACTTATAACAGAAAGCAGAGCTATAGGCCTGAAGTTGTAAGGGTCGGTCTTAGATCCTTTTTTTGGGGATGGGTTAGACATGAGCAAATTTCCTTTAACGAGATGGAGAGTAGAGTACGATTTTCTACCATAAAATTATTAGACCAAGAGAAGTGTTTTGTTATCAAAGTAAAATTCGTGGTAATAATTTACTTAACAAGATATAGCTTATTTTTAGTCTACCATAAAAAAAAACAAGTTGCTCCCAAACATTGTTTAAAGATGTCGCCGTTCAATTAAAAAACACAGGTTTCTAAGCTCATTCATAAATTTACAACATTCAGTCAGTCTAGATCGTCTAATGTGTCCACCTCGACGGGCGGCCTGTGCACGATATAAGTAAACGTATGCGGCTCAGGACAAAGACATCCAGGAAAACAATCTGAATACGCTCGGGAAGTATCAATAGCGCCTTGAAGACACTTAACGTACACTAACATTAACTTGGTTACTACTATAGGAATGTGCCAGTTTCCGTTAAACATTATTCTGGAAGAACGTGATGTTGCACTTAGAAAATATAAATCCGATAAAACAGTATCGAGCTGGTTAAGCTAGAAAGAAAAACGTAATTTTGCTCTTGCGTCAATTAGGCGTGAAAAAGCGGGTTATCTATCTTTCTTGCAAGAGCATTATACGTCGAAAGAACTTTGGAGAGCTTTAGGTAACATAAATATCGGTGGCTTTAATTCAAAGACAAGAACTGAAAGTATTCCGTCTCACCTCAATGATCCAAGCGCTATAAACGATTATTCTGCATCAGTGTTTCATTGTGCTCAGCCCGACGAAGCAACATTCAATTTGTATCACAATAACACGTTTGGCAATCGGAAATTTTCCTTCACTCTGGTGGAGCCTACTACTATCAAAACTGTTGTGAGTGGCCTTAAGTCAAATGCAAAAGGTATTGACGGTATATCTCTTTTTATGATTAAGCTATCTCTCCCTATTATACTACCTTACTTGACCCATATTATCAATCTGTGTCTTGAGAAGGGCTACTTTCCTAAATCTTGGAGACGAGCAATAGTAAGGCCAATACCTAAGGTCAGGAAGCCCACCGATTTCTCAGATCTTAGGCACATCAGTCTTTTGAGTGTTTTGTCAAAGATCTTGGAGAAAATCATTTATTTGCAAATCTTAGATTTTTTAGAGTCAAGTGACATACTCCCAGTGGAGAAAACCATACAGTACTACAACTGCTCTTCTTAATTTAGTGGACAACATCATCAGGGCCCTTGATAAAAAAATGTGTGTCGCCTTAGTTTCACTGGATTCCTCCAATGTCTTTGATCACGCACTGATGTGTGCTAAGCTAAAATTTTATGGTTTTGATAAAATAGCACTGCAGTTTTTTAAATCATACCTAACCCACCGTTCTCAGCGCGTCTCACTTTCTGGAGTTTTGTCAAATGAGCATTTTATCACTTCGGGTGTGCCTCAGGGCTCAATTTTAGGACCCTTGTTATTTTTAATTTATGTAGCCGATGTTGCTAAGTCCATTCAAAATTCACAGCTACAGTCTTATGCGGATGACACTCAACTGCTTTACTTCTTTTATCCTCCAGACTGCTACTATGGAAATTAACGAGGACATTGACTCTATTTGCACCTACTCAGCCAATAACAGCCTAACCGCTCACTAATCTAATTATAGATAATAATATATGCATTATCTGTAATTTGTGTTTTCTAATAAAAGACGGTTTATTATTATTATTATATAAGTAAACGTATGCGGCTCAGGACAAAAACATCCAGGAAAACAATCTGAATACACTCGCGAAGTATCAATAGCGCCTTGAAGACACTTAACGTACACTAACATTAACGTGGTTACTACTATAGGAATGTGCCAGTTTCGGTTTTTCAAATCCGATTTGTAAACGAACTAGGCTAACCCAGGCATGTCGCCTGATCTGGATGCTGACGCACATCATACCCCAAAACATCGTAGCTTCTCCCGTAGGATGCAGGATCGGGTTGACCCATATAGATTTGTTATGGAAATCTCGGTTCTCGGTAAATTCATTTATAATACGCAACCACCAAACTTCATTTTTCTATCTTCAGTAATACAAAAGTTATAGGAGTGATGTACCTTGGAGAGCCACCTGGTATATTGTGTGTTCC